CCCGCCCTGCTGCCAAAGTTGTAAAGTTCGTTTTTTGACATAACATCTGTCTTGTACATCTCATTGTTGCAATGGGTCCACCTGTATCCCTATTTAAACCATTTGTTTTTTCCCTTCCCCTCTACAAATTATACCAACATCAAATACAGTGAAAGCAGGGGTTATACCGAGCGGGAGCGACATACAAAGCAACAAAGAATCTTATAAATATGTTAGAAACAATAGCAAGAAAGAAAAAAACATTTGAATCCTTATCTTGGGGTTCATTTCGCCTAACATCAATTTATCTGACTTTTTCTGCTTGTCTCAGAGTTTATTTGGTCCTGGCTTACTTCACTTAATATAATGTTTTCCAAGTCTTTCCATTTCCTAGTAAATGGGGCGATGTCATTCTTGTGTGTGTGTGTGTGTGTGTGTGTGTGTGTATACATACATATATATATATATATATATATATATATATATATATATATCACATTTTCTTGATCCATTCATCTACTGAGGGGCATTTGGGTTGGTTCCATATCTTAGCTATGGTAAATAACGCTGCAATACATATAGTTGTGTTGGTAGCTTTAGTATGGTCAAAGACCAACATTTTTTTTCATACCCTTCCACAGAGCAACAATTGAATGAAAAGCAAATACACTTCTTTTCCATATAACTAGACAAACTTTTTTCTCTTTGCAAAAATGCAAACAACTTTACTTTCCTGAAAATGTTTTCCCTTCACTATCCACTAGAAAATGAAGGCTCAAAAACACAGACAAACAAGAAAAATAAAAAAGGAAAAAAAAGGACGGTCCACAGCAGTGATCTACCCTCCTAGAATCTCACAAACTATAAATAGGCAAGCTGAGATTTCAATGGAAGTTCTCCCTTATTTTAGATCCCTTTTGTCCACAAGGAACTATGTCCCCCAACTGCAAATTGTGCTAGCCAGATCTAATCCTTGCTGGAGGAGGGAAGGGCAGAAGGGTCTGGCTATATCATAAACTTTTATAGACGTCCACAGCCAGAGAACATGTTCCTTTTGCTTTATAGGTTATGAATTACAGTGTGTTTGTCTTTAATAAAGACACCCCCGTTTCCCTAAATGTTCACAATCGCTTGAACTCCTAGCCATTGATGCAGTTTAAGGCTGCTAAGCAATAGCTGCACTCCTGCATTTCCTGTAATATTCATATGGAAGTTTAGAGTTGGAAAGTGTCCCCCTGGTAGGTGTTTGGCACCCCGCAATTTCTACACTACCCGTCAATCAAATGAATGTGCATGATATGTCACAGGATAGAAGTTAGATGATATATTCTAAATCGTAATTCACCATGTGAAAACTACCAAAAACATTAGGAAATCAGGAAGCTCAAGTCCACTTCAGTAAGATGAAATTGTACTCTGAAATTTAAGCCAGTCTCTTCACAGTTGAGCCACCCCTGGCAGAGTTCAAACAAAGGCTGAAGGCAAACAGGTTTGTTGGGGGGGAAATGAGTAAGTGGGTCTCCCTGGAGCAGTGTGAAGTCATGTGGTCAAGGTAATGCTTCCCAGAGGTGAAATTGCTGTGTGTGTATGAGATAGGGTAGGAGTGGAGGAAAGGTAGACCAGAAAGCAAAAAGCATAGCAAGGCCCAACTGGGATGCAGTGTAGACTCTCAGCAATACGCTGACCCTCATCATATTCCCCAGCACCACACCTAGTCTGATGACTTGCATGCATCACTCCAGTTGACCTACTTTTCTGTTTCTCACTAACTCCTTTATCATTGCCCACATTCCTAATAATCCTGATAGGAACCAACCTTTGCCCAGTCATCAAGACCTGGTTGAACTGAGAAAGGGCACCCTTCAGTGGTCTTCGGAAGAGAAAGAGAAAAGTCAAAGAGATGGGAACCAAAAAGGAAAGTGATGTTTTTAATCCACTACAATTTCAGCAGATTCTCGGAGGAAAAAAAGTTAATTTAACTCATTTTCATTTTTTCCTAAACAGTGCCACCTACTGTCCATTTTGAGTCATAAGGGTTTTTTTTCTTTTTTTCTTTTCCAAGAACAGAGAAAGAACAGCGAGAGGAGCTAGGGAAACGGACCCATCAAACCAACCTTGGGAGCATTAAAAGAAATATATGATTTCGAAGCAAGTATAAGTATGTTGAGCATTCGTAGAAGGCTAGCAAGAAGCAAAGGTCGCTGAAGACATTTCTCCAGAGATTACCGTATTTTTTAAAAGCATGCTATTCAACTCCGGCAGTTTTTTAAAATTGAATTGCATTTTCATTTTTCATGCATGCTGCTTGCATATTTCAGGCTTGAGAATCACGTCGAGCACTATACATTTTCCTTTTTTTCCCGCCCACCCACAGCGAAAACTTGGGCACAAGGGAAGCTTTTGACATTTGATGTCCTCAAGCTTGGAAACTTTGGGGTTGGCAAAAAAAGGAAAGAGTTAAAAAGGGGCACCCTAAGTCACAGTCTTTTTTTAAGAGCTCGGGGTGACCAGGTTCGCGCGCTCACCCCTCATCTTCTCCCTCCCAACCCAGCGATCCCGCCCCGCGCAATTACTTAGCCAAAGGGCACCATTTGGCTTTCAAACAAATTACTTCAACGCCACGGGGAGTCGGGCGCAGGGAGGGGGGTCGGGGGGAGACCATCCTCCAAAGGGACCCGGGATTTGAGGACCATCGACAAAGCGGGGCCTCCCAGGGCCATCCGCCGCTGCAGGAGAGGAAATCAGGTGGTGGCCAGAGCGTTTCTCCTGCACACGTTAACAATCAAGTTAATTGAATTCATTGGCGTTCAGAATCTGCTTCTACCTCCGAGAGGGCTTTGAATGGCCAATTTCTCTCTCCTCCCCCCCCCCATCCCCGCAATCCCTCCCTCCCTCCTCCCCGCCTCTCGCCCTCCCACACTCCCAGTTCCCTCCCCTTCGGGTTTCCCAGTCCACACCTCCCTCCTCCACTCCCCTCACCCCCCACTCCCTCCTCCGCCCTATTAAAACACCCACTAGCTCACTTGTTAAGACCCCCTTAAGTTGGAGGAGGCAGACAGGCAACAACAGCGAGGAAGAAGTCAAGACGTCTGGAAAGAATTACCCAGTCCTGGCTTCAAGCAGTCCATTGAACCAGGGACTTGAACCAGCCCTAGCCAAAGACTTTTCTCTTGATTCTGTGCTCCTTGGGTTCTGCTGAGGTTTCTCCTCTCCACCAACCGGCGCCTTTTTTTTTTTATTTTCTTGACACAAAAAAAAATAAAAAAAAAGAGGGAGAGACACGCAGAAAGAGAGACAGAGACAGAGAGAGACTTTTCCCATTGAGGGAGGGAAACTGGAACCACAACAACAAAAGTTAATTTATTTTTAAGGCACAGCTCGTTTTTTTTTATATTTTTTAAAACAATGAATTGCAAGGCTGAAGTGCAACGGACATAATTAAGAGACTATTAGTGATTTTTTTCCTTTGAAAAGTGGGGGAGCACCAAATATTGAAGAACCCCCCTCCTCCCCACACACCCCATCTTTTTTTTTAATGCTGTTTTTAAATTTCTTGTTTTTCTTGGCCGATCGTCTCAAATTCATCTGATCTCTTATTACCTCAATTTTGGAAACTGCCTTCCAGCGACCCACCGGGACCACACAGCCAGCCTGCGGACGATTTTATGACCAAGAGCCGAGCAAGGTAGGGGAACAGCAGGCGTGTTTGGGTGAAGGAAGATGGTCCTTCCTTGGGTCCGGGAGAGGTTAGAAATAATCCATATTATTATTATTATCATCATCATCATCGTTATTAATGATCAGTTTCTATAGAAAAGTTTGAGGTCTGAACATTTCCAACAGGCTGAAACCTCTAGAGCTGGTTCCGCATCCTAACGGCTTTTCTGGGTACCAGGTCACCTCTCTCTGGCTGAGGCCAGTGTTCCCTTCCAGAGGTGTACTTTTCCATCCTGCCTTTTCCGGACGGAGCTGAGTGAGGGAACAAGCATTTTTTTTCCACACTTGGTCCGCACACGCCTCCTTTCCCCCCCTAAACCATCTCTCTCCCTTCCCTCTTCCCCCCACTACTCTCTCTCTCTCTCGCGTGGTGAGGGGAGAAGGATCCTAGAAAAGCCTGGCCCATTTGACCTGGAAGTGAAGCTCAGTTCTTGCTTGGGAGGACAGGGTTAAGCGGGTCCCGTCGGGCAGCTCGGGTGGGGGGGGGGAGGGTCCTGCGCCACCTCCCCAGCGCCACCGGCCTCTTTCGGCCACTCCCCCCTTCTCCTCGGGCCTCCCCCCCCCTCTGTCT